CCAATTGTCGTAACCACTATCCCGTTTTCTTTTCCTCGAATGTGACTTTCTGACCAAATTTGCCCGAGATCAACTTCGGTTTTTGGTGGTTTAGTGTTGCTCTGTCTAGTTTTGTACGTTGTGTTATATATTGTTGTGTTTTGATCGTTTTATCATTTTTGCCATGCCGTTGTGTTTGTTTTCGACTTACGAGTTTTATAGATTTGTAATGGCAGTAATAGCTGTTTGTGTAAGATTTTGTTTTTAAAATGTCGGATAAAAGAAAATTTGTCACAATATAAGTTATTAATCACCACTGTAATCTTGGCCTATGACCTCAAAAATGGGTTTTTCGTCATATTCAAGTACATTTTACACCACATATAGGTCGTTCATAATTCAAAATATATTGTCCGGAGTAAAACCTTTTCCAAAGTGTATCAACATTTATAGTAATCGTAATCGTTGACCTACTCACCAAAAAATCAATAGGAGACATATTCATTCCGGAAGGATTTGCTAGCTATGATTGGTGAATGTTGTGCATTTGATCTATAAGATACTATCTGAAAACAAATATTTTGCCACAATTTCAATCTATCAATTGCTGTTGTCAGTCACCAGTGATTTTACTTTGGACTTGTTCATATAACTCGGTCGAACTGTTTAATATTTTGTGATGTTATGGCATTTTTACAGCTTACTATAGAGTATGGGATTTGTCCTTTTTTGAATGCCGAACAGTGAAATATAGCTGCTTACAGTCATGTTCGTTTGTCTCCCTGGGATAGATGTCTCAATGAAAACCATACCATATCTCCTTATTTACATATGTTACCTAAAAATAGAGGGAAATATTTGGTCTCGGAAACTAGAAAGCTGACCCATAAAACAGCTTTCATCATACAATAATCATAATTGGAATTGAGGCAATTTGATTAAAAGTAACGGGCACTTTTCAATCATGTTAATTACAGATTTTGTCAGAATATATTTAAATTTTCAAAATGTATCACGTTTTGTTATGAATATTGTTCAAACCTACTTTAACCAGTGACAACATAATCTGAAAATGTCTTTTCCTCAACAAATTAAGGGATAGAAGTTAATAAAAATACACAAAATACTAACAGAATAGGTTTTTTTTTTATATTAAAATGTAAACAAGATATAGTTCTATATATATAATTACAATTTAACAAAGTATTGTTGTATATTACCATTATTACAATGTAAACAATATCTTATTCAAATAATAATAATATGCTCTGCAGGGCGAAGCTTGATACGACCGCAGAGATCGTATGTTGAACAGTTGAGACAAGTATGGGCACAACTTCCAGCTTGATACAGCTCTGAAATTGGATTGTGATAAAATATTTGACAGAGCATAGCTTTCTGACATGAAATGAATTTGGTCTATAAATGTGAAATTTGACATTTACCTATTATGCTCAAATATCCAAAATCTAAATACATGGTTAGATTCAGCATATAAAAGAACCCCAAGAATTCATTTTTCTGATGAAATAAAACAAAGTTTTAATTTTAGACCCTTAAGACCCCAATGTGGAACAATTTGAATACGGGGACCTATATCAAAACTCTGAATACATGGTTACAGTGGGATTTCCAGTGACACTAGAACAATAGAAAAGTGACTCTTCTTATGAAAGAGATAGAAAAGGTAAAAAAAAAAAATAAACACATAAAACTCGATATGCATAGGAATAAATATCTTTTAAAACACAAAACCATGAAATAACTTTTTTACAAACACTATAAATAAATGATATTTAAAAGCTGAATTTATTAATATGAGTTTTTTTGTTGCAAAATATGCTGTTAATTGAACAATTTATTGCTCAACATAGGGTGTCTTAAAAACTGCCAATTTTGACTGCATATTTTTTTTTTTTGGAAAAAAATATATATCAACCTTAATAATGTAGCTTTATGTGGATCCAATTTTTAACGTTTTCCAAAATGTAGTTTCGCCACAAGAATTTTTTAAAGTTGGGTCATTTTGTCTATGAATGTCGGTAAATTTGTATGATCGAGCACACCGATAAGCCTATCGTTGGGACAACTCGATATTTTTGTAATCAATATTCGTGACAAATATTCTTGGCGCAAGGCCACAAAATCTTTAGCAAATAAAACAATATAGCAATGTCAACAAAATAATATAAATCAAACAATGGTAAAAAGTATCCTTAATTACAAATCACATTATTTGTAGATTGATTTTGTTATAACTTTAAAAGGAATTCAACTATAGACTTTAGAGTCTGGATCACTTAATATATGACAATAAAATCAATAAAAGCAGCGATGCTGAAAATAAACAGTGTAATTTTCAAAAACAGTCCTAGCTTTTCTGGATGCACAACTGCGACTCATTTCACATAAAATCTTATCAGAAAAGATATAACTCAGAATAAATTTTTGTGGGAAGACTTTTTTCTGTGAAAACAGACCCTTCAACTTTGAAAAACGGTAATACATGGACATTATTACAAAAATGGTTGAAGCTGCTATGTTAAAACTCTTACAATGAGGTCACTAGAAATTTAAAAAAAATTCCATTTGGAAAGGTGTTCACATACATAGACATAGACATTGTGGCTGCTGGATCCCAGTTATTGTCCCGTTGACCAATTATGTCTGTTTGGGTTGCTCACAGAATTTTGTAAATATAATGGATTTATAAACAACTCTCATTCAATTAGGAGGTTTATCTAAATAAATAAAAGCTCCGCTTTGGCGCAGCTAGATTCGACCGCAGAGGTCGAACCCTGAACAGTTGGGACAAGTATGGACACTACATTCAAGCCTTATACAGCTCTGAATTTGGATTGTGATTAAATATTTGACACAGCATATGTTTCTGACACAGAATGAATGTGGTCAAGGATTGAAAAAATTGAAATTGGACTTTAACCTATAATGGTCCAATATCCAAAATATAAATACATGGTTATATTCAACATATCCAAGTACACCAAGAATTTTATTTATTTATTTATCAATGGACAATATTAGCTATTATTTCTTGGTCAAGAAATAAGCAATTTATACAAAGTATTAGACAAGTATTGTTTTTGGCCCTTTTTTCCTAAATGGTTAGGGCCATAACCCCCAAAATCAATCCCAACCTTACTTTAATGGTATGGAACTTTGTGGTACAATTTCATAGAGATCCATAGACTTATACTAAAGTAAATGTCCAGAAACCACAAAATCCTAGTTTTTTGCCCTAAATTCCTAACCTATTTGGGCCATAACCCCCATAATCAATCCCACACTTCCTTTTGCGGTATGGAACCTTGTGGTATAGAGATCCATACACTTAAGTGTTTCTTGTTTCACGTTTTTTTATATAGATTAGACCATTGGTTTTCCTGTTTGAATTGTTTTACGCTAGTCTTTTTAGGGCCCTTTATAGCTTGCTGGTCGGTATGAGCCATGCTCCGTGTTGAAGGTCGTACTTTGACCTATAATTGTTTACTTTTAACACATTGTGACTTGGATTGATAGTTGTCTTATTGGCACTCATACCACATCTTCTTATTTATACTTACACATAAGTTATTGTCCTGTAACAAGAAAAATGCTTATTTTCAACCCTTAATTCCGAGAGAGTTAAGGCAATAACCCCCGAAATCAATTTCAACCTTCCTTTTGTGGTATGGAACCTTATGTTACAATTTCATAGAGATCCATACACTTATACTCAAGAAACCAAATGTCCTTGGATGACTACGACAACCCTGACAACGTCATAACATAATAAGACAGCAAAAATTTTAAGGTCGTATAAAAAACATGTTTTTTCTTCTTGGAAAATGCCTGTACAAAGTCAGGAATATGACAGTTGTTTTCCAGTTGGTTGATATAGTTGAGCATTTGGTTTTGTCAGGTTTTATGAATTTACCTTGGAGTTCAGTTTTTTTGTTAATACATTTTTAGAATGGGTCATGCATGTATCTACAGAGAATATACTCGAAACAGAACTTTTACTTTTATGTATTATATATGGTAGCCATATGTTTTCTTTTTGGATGGTTTGGTCAACAGTCTTAATTTTGAATGTATGCATTGAACGACAAATTTGTCCCAAATTAAGGTAAACTGACTTCAAAGTTTCAAAGTTTCAAAGCTCATCTTTCAAAATCTGAAATGCAAAGAGTTGATAGACCGACAATAGAACCAAAGTAATGAAATATCACAAATGGCTTTTCAGACCTGCAATGATGCAATGTATTATTTTGTAGTATGTGTAGAATTTGTAACATAACAAATTAAACATTATTTGTCTTTGTCACAATTTCCTTTGTTAAATAAATTTAATTTCCGTGGAATGTATGTTTTTTTTCTTTTAAAAAAAATAATCAATTGGTTTAATTTTTTCCCCCTTTATGTTAATTTAAGGACAAAAGATATAAAACACAAGTGAAACTGCGTTCTACTGCTCACTGATGATACCCCCAGGCCAAATATTTGACGGTAAACAGGAAGTTGTTGAGTGATGAATCTGAAAACGCATCACACGGTATAGCTGACTTATATAAACACTGAAACCAAATTTCAGAAATCATTGTAATGTAGTTCCTGAGAAAAATGTGACGAAAATGTTCAACTTGGATGTGTTGTGTAAAATGATGCAAGTGTTCGGTAAACAGGAAGTTGTTGAGTGATCAATCTGAAAACGCATCACACGGTATAGCTGACTCATATAAACCCTGAAACTAAATTTCAGAAATCCTTAAGCTTGTAATGTAGTTCCTGTAAAAAATGCAACGAAAAATATTCATGGGACGGAAGGACGGACTGACAGACTTGACGGACTGACGGATGGATGGACAGACAGAGGTAAAACAGTATACCCCCACTTTTTTAAAGCGGGGGTATAATAAATGATTTACAACATGTTAAACACATTGAGAACAAATCAAAGTAGACACACAACTTGATATTTTGTGTCCATTAAATTATAAATAGTAAATAGAACAAAACCCTTTGTTTTTGCATTACATTTATATACATGTACATTTTAGAGTTAATGAATACTAAAAATAAGCATTTAGTATTTCAATAGTAATGTCTATGTTACTTTTCTTTTCATCTGGTGATGTTTGCCAAAGAAAACCATCATGTACTTAATCACACTCACCATGATCTGTCAACATTCGATCATTTTCTGCCAAAATAATGAGAAAGGAAGTCAAACAATTTATCATGTACAGTACTATAAATACCATTGCGTTTACATATAAAAGTACCATCTAGGGTGTCAAGTGCTTTTTTCAGTTTTGCCTTTGATGTACTTCTGTTGATTTCATAAGCATCGCATGTTTCTTCTATGATAGGTCTTTGTTCATCTGTCACTTTACCATGGAACCATTTTTCTGTCAGATTATTAAGGCGAACACATAAGGCCAAACCGCATATTTTATAGTTCCCTTCATCACCATGCCTCCTTAAATTGTCTAATTCATTTTTATAGACTTCTTCAAACGGATTTTTGAAAAATTCATTAATATCTCCATTTCCCCCCTCATAATATAAAGAGCATAAAAGTGGAAAGAATTCATATTTTTGTGCTAATTCATCAATATCGTCCAAACTTGTACCCATATAGTTTTTCGCTATAATATTTTTTTCTACAGATGTAAGACATAACTTATCTGATATTAAGTTACATTCACAGGATTTAAAAGGTAATAATACATTAAACTTATCATCTTTATATACTTGTAACCTACAAGATACAATAATTTTACAACATTTGTTTGCAATAATTGTGTTAATTGTAGGTAATAGTTGTTTCCAGCTCTCAATCTGTTGTTGGTTGGCAGTGAAATTTCCACAAATATCATCAATAATGAAGACTGTCTGTTTATCAGGTTGATAATAATCTCCAATATCATCTGGCTTTGTCACAGGGATTATTTTGTATCCTTCCTTCTGTAAAACTAGTGCTGTGTGTCTCGCAATGAATGATTTCCCAACTCCTAATGGGCCAGTTAAAGTCAAACAACTATTGTCATGTAAACATTCAATGAGGTAATCACTGGCTCTTGTAGACACAAACATCTTATCTTTCTTTTTCCAGTCTTCTATTTGTTTTTTTAACTGATCTGGAAAAAAATTATAAATATAGCTAATTAAAAATTACTATTTATATGAATTATGCATTTAAATATATACTTAATAGCAAGACAATAACATGTTGTCTTGGTTAACCATAGAACATTTCTATCAAAATATAAGTAATTGTTAAATTATTCAAATTTACATAAAAATACATAGTTTTGGGGTTCCTTAAATTAATTTTAAGACCTTGAGTTGTACCAGTCAAGGTCAGAGGGCATCTTTCAGGGTATGTCTTCAGGTGGTGAACCTATATACTAAATACAGAAAGCCAGACAAGAAAATGTCCCAAATATCACCAAATTGTGCCCTTTGGTCAAAGTTTATTGTTAATTTCATGACAATACACGACACACCTTCAAATAGTAATACACCTTCATACCAAGTATCATAAGTCAATTTCAAAAGAAAAAAGTTTGGCCTTGACAAGGTTGTATTATTGGCTTACTGAGATCTGACTGTGCTGCCAAATTTGCCTGTTTATGCAGAGGGTACATGTAACTAAATAGTTTATGTCACATGAACCCTGCCTGACAGACATGTACATCATACAATCATTTCATATACATGTACAAATAAAGTTGATCTATTGCTTTTAGTAACTGATCATCATGAGACACAGACCAAACCCTGAAATCTAAACATTGCCAAATGAAACTTGAAAATAAGGTTAAGGTCCAATGAACCCAGTCTCACTAGACCGTGAAAGGATCCATATACCAAATATAGTTATCCAATTACTCATAAAAAGAGAAAAATTCACTGTTAATTTTTCAAGAAATACATACATAAGCTAATTATATTTTACAAAATTGCTTAGCACAGTCAAAACTTTTATGAACCATTCAACTGAATATCAAAATTTTGTTTGCATTATTTTTTTTTCAAAATTCCTTCCCTTTATCATGTGTTTATGGCTATAGTTTGTATTGTATTTGAGCAAAATATTTCAAAATCATATGTAAAATATCTGTTGCAACTCAGAATATGAAGCTTTTTTATGGAGATCATTGACTGAACATACAATGTACAAAAAAGAAATGCTTGATGGCCAATTTATATCAATAACAGTTAATCCCCTTTTCATATATTATAAGATTTTTTGTTTGTCAAAAGAGGTATCCTTTTCATTTTCATTAGTGTCATAAACAACTTAAATGGATCATCAAATTTAATAAAATTAAAGGTTACTGCTCAAATCAATATCTTTCCAGTATGTTTAGTACAACTTTATTACATAATAGGCCAATTTCATTCATATTTCTGGGGTTATGTTTGGAGTATTTGCAAGTGAACAAACCAGCATTCAATCTAAAATAAGTGAAAAAATGTTTGAGGACCACCTCCGGGTGCAGGATTTTCTTGCTGCGTTGAAGACCCATTGGTGGCCTTTGTCTGTTATCTGCTCTTTGGTCGGGTTGTGTCTCTTTGACATATTCCCCATTTCCATTCTCAATTTTATCATGTATCCATTTGTCTTGCTAAAAGGGTATATTCAAGGAATATCACAATGCTCAATCATGGCAAAAATCTAGATTTTCACATAAGAAATTTATGTATAAAGAAACAGCATAAAATGGGGTAACGAAATGTTCAAAAAATTTCATATACAAATGAAATACTACAATATGTACAATGCTGTGTGGTTATTTTATAAATTGTTATTAGTCATTATGCTTTGATTTAATATAAATGAAAGATCTTCAAAGGTATTTTTAGACTAGTACATGTACCAAGATACTCTGCTGAAAAATCTTATGTCAGCAGGAGTTCATTCATCAACAATCATCAATCATGTGTTATATTAGCCTTTGTTCACTTGACACACAAGTGTATTGATTGACAGGTGTCAAAATCTTTAAATTTGTTGTATCCAATATGGGATACAACAAGAGGCTCTCAAGAGCCTGAATCGCTCACCTGTTATTTTTTTTGCTTAAATCTTTCATCAATGATTATTTTTGCTTTTTACCCATATGTTCCATTTTAGCCATAGTGTCTATGTTTCTTGACGTACAAGGAAATGAAATACAAAATTTATACTAGATTCATTTGAGAAGATTTTTAAAGTTAAAAAACATAAAACAACTTGTGTAAAATTGTCCTTAAAGGGCAATGACTCCTTAAGGGGTCAATTGACAATTTTGGTCATATAAACTTTTTTGTAGATCTTACTTTGCTGAACATTTTTGCTGTTTACAGTACTAGTTTATCTTTATCTTCAATAATATTCAAGATAATAACCAAAAACTGCAAAATGTCCTTAAAACAACCAATTTAGTGGCAGCAACCCAACAATTTCAGGGCTGATAGATCTTGACCAATTGAACAATTTTACCCCGTGTCAGATTTGCTCTATATGCTTTAGTTTCTGAGATATAAGCCAAAAACTGCATTTCACCCCTATGTTCTATTTTTAGCCATGGCGGCCATGTTTGTTGATGGATCAAAATTTCGGAAACAATTCATAAACTAGATTCATAAAGGAACATTCATTCAAAGTTAAGAAGTATTAGGCACAATAGTTTTAGAAGAGAAGATTTTAAATTGTTAGCAAACTTGATGAACACATTGCGTAAAATTGTCTTTAAAGGGCAATAACTCCTTAAGGGGTCAATTGACAAATTTGGTCATTTAACTTTTCTGTAGATCTTACTTTGCTGAACATTATTGCTGTTTACAGTTTATATCCATCTATAATAATATTCAAGATAATAACAAAAAACTGCAAAATTTCCTCAAAACTACCAATTTAGTGGCAGCAACCCAACAATGGGTTGTTCGATTTGTCTGAAAATTTCAGGGCTGATAGATCTTGACCAATTGAACAATTTTACCCCATGTCAGATTTGCTCTAAAAGCTTTAGTTTTTGAGATATAAGCAAAAAACTGCATTTGACCCCTATCATGCCTATGTTCTATTTTTAGCCATGGCGGCCATGTTTGTCGATGGATCAAAACTTCGGATACAATTTATAAACTAGATACCCTAAGGAACATTTAATTAAAGTTTGAAGGTATTTGGCCCATTAGTTTCAGAGGAGAAGATTTTTGAAATAGTTTACGACGACGACGGACGCCAAGTGATGGCATAAGCTCACATGGGGCCCTTTTAGCCCCGGTGAGCTAAAAAGGTAGCAAATATGAAATTAGTAAACAAAATTGGAATTTTATTAGAGTTCCGAGTGTAAATACTCTTAACTGCATGAACACAACTAGATGTGTCAGAACTACACGAATGGCCCTGATTGCAAAAAAAAGCTTGAAGCCATTTTTAGGACAGGGGTTCAAATTAACATTTGGTACTGGAAGGTCCAGGACCTTTGACACTCCAAACTGAAAGGTCCACAACCTAAATTCCAGGTCCTACTTTTACTTGAAATATTTCCTAACATAGTAAGATACAAGTAACAAAATTAATGTGCTGTTGGTGTTAGGTCAACTTGTTTCATTGTCAAAGTCACTGTTGTATAAAATATTTAATAACAATTGTAATTGTCTTGTATATTATAAATTCAGATAATCTTTTTTTTTTGTTATTGAGGAGGGTGTCACCATGGGTTGGTGTGTTGTCTCAACTATTGGTAATTTATTACTACTTATACCATTTTATAAAACAGTTCAAATTCAAAGCTGTTTAAGCAGAGACGTATAGACATGTGTATATATGTCTCTGGTTTAAGTGTATCATATCTAGTTGCACTATTATAATGCATTAGTTCCTCTGTGAAAATAAGATAAGAAACTTCCAGATTTGTACTGGTCTTTTAAAATTTAGAAGACATTACCTCTTGGAATTGTAGTAATACGTTTACACTATACAAAAATCTACATGTAATATCAATATTTATTAATGATAAAGAAAATTACTGTCACATTTTTTTGAATTTTGAGATGAAAATTTATGAACTAAAAGTAATTATGAGTTTCTGTAAAAAAATATTTCCTACTTTTTCTTTCTTTTCAATATATCTTTTGGTTTTCAATTCTAGTGTTTATATTTTATCATCATAGATGTATTTTGTCAACTGCCTGGAATTATTATTTTTTCATTGTATTTGATCGGCAAACTCGGAATTACCCTTATCCGCTCCAGAATCGGATCCATTTTTTGTTATTTTCTTCATTTCCGGTTTATGGCATCCAATGTTTTTCAATGTTGTTTTGTCAGTCAGATACGATTTTACTCGGATTTACACATTACTAGTTGGCAATTTTCGGTATAAAGCTAGCGGTTGAACAAAATGAACATCGCTGAATAATAATGATGAAAATAAATTTTGAGATTGTTTGGAAATTTTTGTTTAAAAAGGTCGGCAAAGTTTATTTTTATTTTCTTTCAAACCGAAGGTCCGTCGGGCGTAGCTTGTAACCAAAACGAGAGTCCGACTGCAAAAATGGAAGGTCGCGGACCTTGGACTACCGCTAATTTGAACCCCTGTAGGAGTTGAAATTTGAGAATGAAGGTCCATATAACTGTTATTTTCATGAAATTTTCAAAGCCTGTGATTTTGGTACAAATCAGCAGTGCAGAACCAATGATGTCAACTAGATCTGTAACTCATAATAGTAGACTCATATACTAACTAGAGGCTCTCAAGAGCCTGTGTTGCTCACCTGTATTTACTGATGCTTTGGAAATCATGTAAAATAAGGTTAAAATCATAATTAATAGTATTAGATATTAGATATTATAATGATATCTAAAATAATAACAAAAAACTGCAAAATTTTTGTAAAAAATTACTTACTCAGGGGCAGCAACCCAACAACGAGTTGTCGGATCCGTCTGAAAATTTCAGGGCAGATAAATCTCAATCTGATGAACATTTTTGCTCTAAATGCTTTAGTTTCAGAGATATAAACCAAAAACTGCATTTTACCCCTATGTTCTATAGAAGTCGGCCATGATGGTTGGAAGGTGGGGTCATCGGACAAATTTTTTAAACTAGATACCCTAATAATGATTATGGCCAAGTATTGTTAAATTTGTCTCAGTAGTTTCAGAGAAGAAGATTTTTGTAAAAGATTACAAAAATTTACAAAAAATTGTTAAAAATTGACTATTAAGGGCAATAACTCCTAAAGGGGTCGACTGACAATTTTGGTCATACAACTTATTTGTAGATCTTACTTTGCTGAACATTATTGCTGTTTACAGTTTATCTCTATCTATAATAATATTCAAGATAATAACCAAAAACTGCAAAATTTCCTTAAAATTACCAATTCAGGGGCAGCAACCCAACAACAGGTTGTCAGATTTTTCTGAAAATTTCAGGGCAGATAGATATTTACCTGATAATCAGTTTTACCCTATGTCAGATTTACTCTAAATGCTTTGGTTTCAGAGATATAAGCCAAAATCTACATTTTACCCCCATGTTCTATTTTTAGCCATGGTGGCCATCTTGGTTGGTTGGCGGGGTCATCGGACACATTTTTTAAACTAGATACCCTAATGATGATTGTGACCAAGTTTGGTTAAATTTGGCCCAGTGGTTTTAGAGGAGAAGATTTTTGTAAAAAGGTAACGACGACGACGACGGACGCCAAGTGATTAGAAAAGCTCACTTGGCCCTTTCGGGCCAGGTGAGCTAAAAATCAGCTGAATATGTGAAGGCGTTTAGAAAAAAAGTCTGTATAACTGTTATTTTCACCAAATTTTCAAAAAATCAGTGACTCGGAACCAAGCCTAAACTCAATCTGTTACTCATCATAGTAGACTTAAAGTCGGTGTAACTGTTATTTTCACGAAATTTTCAAAGTCAAAAGCCAATAATTTCTGCAAAAATCAGTGGAGCTGAACCAAACCTAAACTCAATCTGTAACTCATCATAGTAGACTCACATGGGGCCATAAAAATATATGTTTAGGTATCCGTAACAAATGTTTCTTTCTTAGCAAATGCTTTTAAATAGAATTGAACATTTTGAAACCCTTTTAGCATGTTTCTAAGACGAAGAATAAATGGTAGTAGTACAAAGTTGAAATTCCTTTAGTCGTCTGTAATCTCAGAGCTCTCGGATTGATCATGAAAATATTAATGTGACATGTTCAATTGTGTCCATCATAGATATCCACAAAATATCCAGGAATATGAGTATTCCATCTTGTGTGCAGTGTATCAAAAATAAAGAGATGGCTAATAACGTTACTAGGAATAAATTTAAAATCTGATCTCTTAATGAATTGAAGTAGTACTAGATGAACCCAAGGTAACACAACCCCCCCCCCCCCCCCCCCCTCCAACAGTTTACCTCTTATATTCCATGGTATTGTATCCATCTGGGAGATCTTTATTTCTTCCATTTCTTTTGTCACAGCTACATGGTTTTCTTGAAGTAATTCATGGGATTGAATCATTTCTGTATGTGATCGCTTCATCCTTTCAAAAGATTCTTTTAGCTCCCAGATTTCATTATTAGAACACTTAATGTACGTTATTATTTCTTGGTTGGTTTGATCTAAAGGTTTGGTTTTCATATGATCACACTCCTGCTTCATTTGCTTCCCACCTAATCTTTCAATGGCCTGTAAAATATTGGATGATACTTTCACTTCAAATTTAAAGTAATATATATATATATATGTATACTTCGTCTCCAATTTAGCCCATCAATGTAAGATCAGCAATTTCTGTTTCTTCCCTCAGCAGGATTCAAACCCTTTCATCTGAGGCATCATGGCAACACAGCCTGCACTGTGTCCAGTGCCTTGAAGACCACTCGACCAACTGGGATATAAAAAAATATCACTTTCCGTGGTCGATGTAATGCCTTTCCTCGTCGGCTTTATCTAGGGTTTTAACACAGTACATGATAGTGTTGGATACTTGGTTGAAATTACCAACCGATTATCTATTACTATCGGTTGACAGCAACCAACCGACTATCGGTTATAATCGCAACATTATACATAATGTACCTTGCCCCTTTTTAAATGAAATCATGCATTTAGTCACACTGTACATGTCTAATGCGTATATTCCATATCATTGCAGAGTTTTATATATAGATTTATTTCGTCTTCAAGCCATTGTTCCACTACTAAACTGTCTATTCTACTGACTAGTACACTAGCTTGGTACAATAAAAAACCTGGTAATAAATTGTTCAAATAAGGCCTTTGAAAATAGTGGAATTAATTACTTTTGGAGTGTTAAAAATTCGTTAGAAGTACTTGATAAATTGCATGTTTATATTAGTGATTTCGAATCTGTTTAAAGTTTTGATTTTTCTAACCTATATACCACTTTGCCTCATAATCTTATTAAGAAAAAAATCACACACCTAATTAAATGGGCATTTAAAAAGTCAGAATGCAAATATATATGTTCTAACTCTTTTAGGTAATTTTTTAGTAACAACAGACAATGACAGACAAAAGAACTATGTCGATTGGACCTGCTTTGATACGATTACTGCCCTTGAGTTTTTAATAGATAACATTTTTGTTCACTATGGAGATTCTGTATATCGTCAAGTTATCGGAATTCCAATGGGGACTAACTGTGCACCACTTATTGCGGACCTGTTTCTGTATTGTTATGAGTTTCAATTTATGACTAAAATCAGCAAAGACCCATAGAAACAACATCTGATACAAAAATTTAATAACACTTTTAGATATTTGGATGATATATTGGCTCTCAATAATGACGACTTCAGTATGTAAACTAAAAAGATTTATCCTGCTGAACAGACTTTAAATAAAGCTAATACTAACAACGTGAACAATGAACACTGCCCTTTCCTGGATCTTGATCTTGAACCTAACCTTTAAACAGACTTATTCAGAAGGGATATAGTTACGATACTGTTGTCAGGTCATTAAAGATGGCATATTTTGGTATTAATATTGATTCACTCATAGGGTCTTTGCATCGGAAATAACACATTTATTCTACAACCAGTTGTTGGCATGATACCGGTTAAGTTCTTCTCATATATCTTATGATGGTATGATACTAAACCCCTAATGGGAGGGATTGTGCTTGCATTTTCATATGGTGAAGACATTATTTTTCAATCAGTTTATAAATTGAGGTCTGGAGCTAGCATGTCAGTAACTGTTAGTAGTCCTTTGTTGATTTATGTATCATTGTCATTTTGCTTAGTTTCTTTTGTTACCTATTCTGACAACGGACTCGGACTTCTTTTGAACTGAGTTTTACTGTGCGTATTGCTGTGTGTTTGTTTATTCTACATTGGCTAGAGGTATAGGGGAGGGTTGAGATCTCACAAAACATGTTTAACCCCGCCGCATTTTTGTGCCTGTCCAAAGTCAGGAGCCTCTGGCCTTTGTTAGTCTTGTATGTTTTTTAGTTTTACTTCATTTATATGTTTTGGAGTTTAGTGTGACGTCCATTCCATTGAACTAGTACACATTATTGTTTAGGGGCCAGCTGAAGCCCACCTCAGGGTGTGGGATTTTCTCGCTGTGTTGAAGACCCATTGGTGGCCTTAGGCTGTTTTCTGCTCTTTGGTGGGGTTGTTGTCTCTTTGACACATTCCCCATTTCCATTCTCAATTTTATTCTATATGTTCAGATTTGATCTTTTGTTTCCTTTTCATATTTTATTTAGTAATTAAAACAGTGAATCAATTAGAATCCATATTCAGATTGAATATATTTTGTCTTTTAATTACAACATTTATTACCAACAATGACACTAAAATTTCTAAATTTCAATGGTATTACTCACATTATAATTTCAAATACATAGCTGTATAAAAATTTGAATGCTTATCTTATTAAAAAAAGATATATAAAGTATCTAACTATAAGCAATTTAAAATTAATCAAAAAATAACAATGCATTTGCATTTATATATATACATTTAACTAAGGGGATCCAACCAATGTCTGTTAATTCATGTAGAATGCTTATTTTTCACATTTGTGATCATTATTCTTCTTTCAGCTGTGTCATTTGTCCATGTACTTATAATTGCAAGAATGATGATTTCTTACATAGTTGATCCGTATCCGATCCGTGACTCGTATATATTTCAATGTGGGACAAAACAGGAAAATTTACAAAAATAAATGATGTTTGACAAGCAATTTGGAAAGAAATATGACGTTTTTGACGCAACAAATGGATGAAACATTAATAAAAAGCAATTTGCACCACGTTCTAATGAAGCAAAAAATTTATTTTGTCTAAAATCAGAATGATTTCATGTACGCTCTCGAGTAACAAGTACTGGAATTGAAAGAAAGTATTTCATAAAAAGTTATTTATTTTAAATAACATGCGATCAATCTGTATATAGTCAATGCAAAAAGAAATTGGTTATGTCTTTGATTATAGGATGTTTGACATTGTTATTGTCATCGACTGATATTTTTCGTTACAATTTGTTTCACTGCACATGTAAAATGCAAACCGGCAACGGACCGTAAGTTGATATGCTAAAAGTCCGGAAACTATAACGAAAATCGCTTGAACAAAATCCCATTCGATTATCGACATCGCCAGGCCCAACCAACTGATTTCCGACTTATTCCGATCATTGGAACAACACTAGTACATGATGTATAGTGGCAAGTAGATGGTGTACCGTAACTTTCAGATCAGCTTTTTTGTCTATCGTAAAGGGTGATAATATTAATTAAAATTTGATGTGGCGGCATGGTAATTAACTTTATCATCCTTTATGACAGACAAAATAGCTGATCTGAAAGGTACACCATCTACCATTATACATCATGTTCTGTGTTACAACCCTAGACAAAGCTGACAAGGAAAGGCATTAAATCAACCACCTAAAGCTATATTTTTATGTAGCCTAGGTGGTCGTGTGGTCTAGGGCACTGGACACAGTGCAGGCGGTATTGCCATAATGTCACAAAAGCAAGAGTTCGAATCTCGCTGAGGGAAAAACAAAAATTTGCATTATTGCTAACACAAATTTACAGATCTAACATTGTTGGGCTAAATTTGAGATGAATTATATATATATTATGGTGTTAGCCCTGTATAAGCATGTGTTATCAGATGGAGAATGTCTGTCATAAAGTTGTCACATGTTTAGATGTGTATATATATGTATACTTCGTCTCAAATTTAGCCCAACAATGTAAGATCTGCAATTTCTGTTCTGCCCTCAACAGGATTCAAACCCCTGCATCTGAGACATCGTGGCAACACCGCCTGCACTGTGTCCAGAGCCCTAGACCACTCAACCAACTGGGCAATAAAAATATCGCTTTCCTTAGTTGAGTAAAGACTTTGATCGTCGGCTTTATCTAGGGTTGTAACATATTACATGATGTATAGTGGCAAGTAGATGTTATACCTTGCAGATCAGCTGTTGTATGTCTGTCCTAAAGGTTGATAATTTAACTTACCATGCCGTCACATCAAATTTTAATTTTATCATATGCGTCTAAATATGTGACAACTTTATGACAGACGTTTTAAAATCGGATAACTTGTGGTTGCCACGATGTCTCAGATGCCTGCTGAGGGAAGAACATAGCAAATTTGCAGATCTAACATTGTTGGGATAAATTTGAGACGAAGTAAATATAAATTATGGTGTTGGCCCTGTATATGATGGAGAACATCTGTTGTAAAGTCATCACATATTTAGACATATGTATTTATGTCTAAATCAGGCCCATTGGCTTTCACCTGGTTTGAATTGTTTTAAAGTTTGTCATGTCAGGCAGGGTCTTTTATAGCTTGTTATGCCGTATAGGTTTACCTGGTTGTTAAAGATCGTACGGTGACCTATAGTTACTATAACATGTCATGTGACAAAAATGAGGACTTGGTCTATCTTTGATTTATGTCGGTTTTGTATTATGTCAAAATATATCTTTAATAGTTTTGAAATTAATAAAAAGGAATAAGTCAAAATTCTAAATTTTAAAGCCATAACTATATCATATAATATAACTATACAATATACATATACTTTAAAAACCGATTTTTGAAAATCTTATAAAATACTTGTAACTTTTTTTTATAGTTTTTTGAAAGAAAAAAGGTGCCAATGTTAAATGTATGAAAAATCTAGAGAAAATTCTTTCCCTTCAAATTTTCAATTGCTTATATCTTAAAAACTAGGACCAAGCCTTTCAATTTTGTCTGCTTTTCAAGTTCCATCATTTCAATTTTAGTGTATAGCAGTCTTTTAGAAAGCTTGTTATTTTGAAACTGAGGAACAAAAATCCTTAATCATATTAATAGGATAATAGAATTTAAATTTTAGGTTTTTTTGCTGACATTTTTACACTTTGAGTGTGCACTTTTGATTCTGAAATGGTGAAGTTGCCATTTAAAAAAAGAATTTCATAACTTATAGTATCATTCATTAAAGAAAAAATTGTTAACAAACCAACAACTGGTATATATGTGTGTTTATGGTGCATAATTTGAACTTGACAATTTGTAATTTTGTTTCAAATAGCTACGATCAAGTTTCCCTTAAATCAGTGAAAAAATAAATAAATTGATATACACTTACACCAGACATATCATTCCATGCTGTTTTGAAGAAACTAATGTCTATTTTGCTATCATCTAGATGAGCTAAGTAATTCCTGTAATATTTGATTCTTGCTAAATCTGCAGCTGGTGTGGTTTCCATGGCACTAGGTAAACGGTCAAATCCACAAGAAGGAGGATTCATTGGCGTTAAGTTCCTCAGTAATATTGTCATCAGAGTCACATCAAAAGTTTTGGAATCTGTTACATCTGGAAAATACATTAAATATATAGTTAAAATAATAAGAGAAATTATAAAAATTTGCATATAATAAACTGTTGACAGAGGTACATGTATATCTTGCCTGTCAGCATAAAATTCAGAAAAAGACAATCTGATGGACAGCAACATTGTTTGTTAATTCAAAGTCCCTGGACCATGATCTAGTGGGCAGGTCCTGAAAATGGTCAACAAACTGAGATGTACAGACAGTAATGTAATTTTATAGTTAATATCATTGTCTATTGTAAGTAGTTCCTATCATTCTAACTTAAGCAGAGTTATTCTGAAACAGAGGAGTGAACATCCTTAAGAGCAATAGTTTATTGTCTTGCTGATCATTTTTGCTATTCAAAGTGCCTATCTATCAATTAGAGTTTTCAAGATATAGATATCTACATGTATATGTATTTTAATTTTCAGGATAACAGGCACAATTGAAAAAAAATCATAAAAGGGCAAAACCTCTTGTTAGAATACGACTGACAGTTTTGAGGTAAATGGCCAGTAGGTAGATATCAACAATCTGAATATTTCTACCCAAGTCAGATATTCTGTATTTTATAGCAGTTTTAAAGAAGTCAGAAATGTTGGTTGGCAGGCTGGTCATAGGTTACATTTTTTTTTAAACTAGATACTGCATGATGATAGTAGCCAAGTTTTGTTAAATTTAGCCAAGAAGCTTCAAGTATTTTTTGTATTTCTGCACTTACCAGGAAATCTTGGAAACAGGAGGTTCCACTGTGATTGGTTGATTCTATGTTGCCTTTTCAATTCAGTTAGTTTTTTTAGCTCTTTCTTCAGTGAGGTATTTAAACATGCAGGAGCAAACTCATAATCAAAACAGGTTCTTACAGCACGTGGAGAAATTCCTGTCAGTAGCAGACATATTCGAACATAGTTTTCTTCCTCTACAGAAAGAGATGCCATAGTCAAGTCTTCTTTATTCCTTGTAATTTAGTTTATCCGATAGAAGATAATCTTTGAAAAGGTCAAAACCTAGACATCATTTTAATGGCTATCAAGATGATGTACATTGTACATGTTGTAAATATTGATCCATGTCCTGTCCATTTTATTAAGATAACCATTATGAAATCTGGTACATTTCCTGAAAAAAATTAATAACCTTAAGTTAGCAAGCTTACATACCCTCAGAGGCCTCTCCCCCTTAAATATTATGCATTTGCCAGTAATATTCTGTTATGCTAATATATTCTTAGTAAATTTGACCTTGAACTTCGATTCAATGACTTGAAGGTCAATAAGGATAATGCATCCTGAAACCATGTTTCAAATTTCAGTCTTTGTTTTAACTTGATTTTAGACATAGTGACCCAAAATGAAATAAGGATCTTACTCCCATTTATCATGACGACATATGTCAGTAGGGTTTCAATCCCTCATGTATTTGATGTACATACAATGTATTTGATTTAGCATCCAGAACCACTTGTTTGCAACAAATTCCATCTTTTTTTTAGTAGTTATGACCTTGAACTTAAGAGGTGGTGACTTCAGAATCAAGAGATGATCTCCCTCTCATAATACATGACAATAAGCACGATAAATATTTGAGTAAGCTTCAAGAAACTACTTTTTTACACAAATGTTGGTCTATTTGTCATGACTTTGATCTTAACCTTCAGGTTGCAATCTCTAAATCAAAAGAGATCTTCCTCTCAAAATATGTGACCATATATATCAAAGTAAGGTTGCAGTCTGATATTAAGTACACAAAAAAATGTATTTGAGTAATCATTGGAAAACCCCTATTTTGCACTTTTGTATTGGTCATTTTTAGAAGATTTAACCTTGACCTTAGAGGCGGTGACCTTGAAATCAATAGAGATCTTCCTCGTATTATATATGGTGAATTAAAATTCAAATCTAAGGGCGGAGTTGATTTAGCATCTAGAAAAGAAAATGACTGTCAGAGGGGTCTAAAACTATGTATCCCCCTAGCTACTTTGAACATAAATGAATTATTTGAACAGCAATAAAGACGAGAAGTTTTACTGTAGATACCTGTAAGGATCATTCCCGCTATTTTTTTTGTTTTTCATGGATGCCTTTTGCCAATAGATAATCCAACATGAGTAAACAGAGATATGTCTTGCCTACTTGTTATTTTGATAATGCAAATGTTGAAATTAAAATAGCAATACTTTATCATGTAAGTTATGCAAATATTCAAAATCAATGAACCATGACTGAAGGTAAAATAGGGTTGTTACACAATCTCTATGGAAATAAAATGTGCCAATGCCAATACAACTGCATACCAAATACCATTGACTAATCATAAATTCTAAAACCATACAGCTTATTTCCAATGGGGTCCATTTAGTGTTACATGTGTTACATTCTTAAAAATATTAAATATTAAATCGCTGTAGATGTCGCCTTACATTATACCAGATTTTTCTCAAACTATTGAACTGATTATGACAAAACTTGACAGTAATACTTGAAATAACCAGTATTACAAAAGAAAAAAAGCACATTCAGTTTAATTCAACAAATAAGTCTTCTTTAGGTGTAATACCACCAAATCATGGTAATACCAAAATTTATGATAAAAGAGATGATTTTTCATTTCCTATTGTTCATGTTGTTAATTATCCATTTTTAGATGGTGACTTCCCTTGTCACCATCTTATGGTGTTTATATATCTCAACTTGTTCGATTTGCTCGAGTATGTAACAACTAATCTGATTTCAACGAAAGAAATCTCTGTATTACTGAAAAATTATTACAGCATGGTTTTCGATATCACAAACTAGTCAAAACATTTATATAACATGTATAAACCCACTTTGAAAGCTATATTATTCTTCAGCTCTCTAAAAATCTATTTTATTGCACAATAACTTTCATACATGTATTTGAAAAATTCACCAGAGCCAAAATGCAAAACTAAACTAACTGTGTATTGCTTCCTTAGAAATTTAAATGAAAGGTACATGTTCAATATTAAGATGAGGGTCTTGTACTGTCCTTCTAGGGAACAGGTAATGCAAATTATCAAGATAGACTGTGAATTAGTGCTAAAGTACCAGAGTTTCATCAACAAGTAAAAAATACTTTCTTTGTAAATTGTTGTTAAATTAATTAGATATCTCTCGATACACTCTCTCTCAGGTACAAGTTAATGGGAACCCAGTAAGAAAAAAAAGCTGCTTACACGAATATATGCGTAAATATGCGAGTGATAAAAAGTGATAACGGTTTACTCAGTTAAAACTTTATTTTATTTGACTTTTTTAAAGGGGAGCTAGAATGAAACAGTTATGCCATTATTTGAAGAAGAAGAGCAGTCTAGCATGTCAATATGGAAACCAATGTTTAAAAAACAGTGTGAAGTTAAGACAGAAACTTGCACAATGTACAATTTTCAAGTCACATGCAAAAGCCATATATTCCAGCTCAATATTGTGTAAAATACTTGGGCCTAATAGTAGGGTGCCCAGTGTCCAAAAAGTCCTCTAGTTAACATGGTTAACGAGTTTAAGTTAATGGATAACACACAGCTAATTTTATTTGCAAATTATAGGAAAATCGTTATATTCTACCATCATGATTGTCATCGTATGTTCCCGTGAGTTCAAGTTTTAGAATAAGGTTTTTCAAATAAATCTGCTAGATTTATTAAAGATATGGAAAATAGAACTTCTGTAAATTTTAATAATTTAATTTCGGATGTAACATGTCTTCTGATTGGCTAAAAGGTTTTTGTCTATCAGCTCATAGACATAATTTTGTCATGTGACCGTGACGTCATTAACGTTTTTTCATGATTTACTCCTTAAAAGTTGAGTTATTTACGGGTCATTCAGTGTAAACCACATGTTATTTCTTCATAGACATGATAGACATTCATTCCTTAAATGTACTAAATAGCATTGTTTTTTTTAATGTAGATTATAGAGTAAAAAAAAGACTCAACCTTGATTATAAAATATTTTATAACAAAAGCCCTTACTACATGCAAGGTAATTTTGCTAAGATCAAAGATTGTCATAATTATTCAACAAGATCTAGTGAATTCAATATTTTTTATACCACCTATAAATGTGTTATACCACCATTGTTTTTCCCCTGTGAGTCTTTAGTTAAATTTGCAGAATTTATCTTTGTTTCAAATAAAGAAATACTTGGCATGAGTAAAGTTTTATCCTGTCCAGTACTACAGACAAAATTTCCCATAACATTTCATTGCATATAAGATAATATCCATCACTGGCATGACTGGAAGTTAACAAATCAAATTTCCATCCCTTTCTTTCCTGTTTACAAGCTTAAGTAGCCAGGTATTATAAACTTAAAGTTTCTGAAATATTACAGAAACACCAAATAAAAAAAGAATAGTGCTTTGAAACCCCCAAGATATATGTTTATGACTCAGAATTTTTTTTTACTGCAATGAAATGTAGGATTAATTTCCTGCAACTGTCAAATTCGAGGAATATTCTTTACAACCCTTTTTCGTATGCAGCCATAAAATTGAGAATGGAAATGGAGAATATGTCAAAGAGACAACAACCCGACCAAAAAGCAGACAACAGCCGAAGTCCACCAATGGGTCTTCAACGCATCGAGAAAATCCCGCACCCGGAGGTGGTCCTCAGCTGGCCCCTGAATAAAATTGTGTACTAGTTCAGTGAAAATGGACGTCACCCTAAACTCCAAAACATATAAATGAACTAAAATTTAAAAACATACAAGACTAACAAAGGCCAGAGGCTCCTGACTTGGGACAGGCGCAAAAATGCGGCTGGGTTCAACATGTTTTGTGAGATCTCAACCCTCCCTCTATACCTCTAATCAATGTAGAACAAAGAAACACATAGCAATACACACAGTAAAACTCAGTTTAAAAGAAGTCTGAATCCGATGTCGGAATAGGTAACAAAAGAAACTAAGCAAAATGACAATGATACATAGTTGAACAAAGGACTACTAGCAGTTACTGACATGCCAGCTCCAGACCTCAATTAAACTGATTGAAAGATTATAACTTCATCATATGAAAATCAAGTACAATCCCTCCCGTTAGGGGTTTAGTATCATACCATCATAAAATATGAGAAGAAAATAACCTGTATGATGCCAACAACTGGTTTTAGAATAAATGTGTTTATTTCCGATGCAAAGACCCTATGAGTGAATCAATATCAATACCAAAATATGCAATCCTTAATGACTTGACAACAGTATCGTAACTATATCCTTTCCGAAATAAGCCTGTTTAAAGGTTTGGTTAGCTTTTGAGATGAATGCCGACATTTTTGTGCTTTGTAAAGAATATTACCATAAAATATTGGATGTGAAATACCTGAACGTATAAGATGTCTGCATGTTGATTTATATATACGAATGATGTCCTTGTACCGATGATAAAAAGAGTAAATGTTTTTACCAGTTTGTGATATCGAAAACCCTGGTGTAATAATTTTTTAGTAATACAGAGATTTCTTTCGTTGAAATCAAATACGTTGTTACATACTCGAGCGAATCGAACAAGTTGAGATATATAAATGTAAATGCTCTTTTGTTCCGACGTTGGAAAGTTCCGGGCGGAAAGAACTAACTAGCCGAAAAGTTCCGGAGGAACTTATTAACTAGTTACTTTGTTCTTCCTCTGGTTTAAAAGTTCCTACGGAACAAAGTGACTAGTTGAAAAGTTCCAACGGAACATATCAACTAGTTAGAAAGTTCCTTTTTTCCAAATTAGTCAAAACTGGAACTTACAAACTAGCCCAAAAGTTCCAACGGAACTTATCAACCAGGCAGAAAGTTCCATTTGGAGAATTGATGCAAAGTAAAAGCGCAACATATTATATTTGAACCTTTCAAAGGGAAACCAAGATACTGATTACAAAAGTCAAATGGAACTTATCAACTAGCCACAAAGTTCCTCTTTGGCAAATAAGTCAAAACCAGAACTAACAAACTAGCCCAAAAGTTCCAACGGAACTTATCAACCAGTCACAAAGTCCCATTTGGAGAACTGATGCAAAGAACCACATGAGGAGGGGGGTATTCTTCCCTCTCTTGAGGGTACTATGAATACCAAATTTGCATAATGCAACTTATTCCGTTTTATGTGAGCTATGAACTACAACTTAAATTTTGCATATTTGTCCCCAAAGAAACCCCTTTCAGTGCGTTTGGTATTCTTGTAAATTAATGATTTGCTCTTATATATACTGATACTCATTCTTCCCCCTCTTTCTACAAAAAGGACGAAATATTGTATATTCAGAATGATGTAACTAGTTGTTCTGTTCCGCCAGAACTATTCAACTAGCTACATTGTTCCGGGACTTTTCAACTGGCTACTTTTTCCCGGAACTTTTCGACTGCACTCGGAATGAAACAGCTAGTTGGAAAGTTCCATCTGAAGAAATAACTAGTTGAAAAGTTCCGCCGGAACAAAGTAACTAACGGAACATAGTGGCTGTTACATAAACACCATAAGATGGCGACAAGGGAACGTCACCATCTAAAAATGGACAATTAACAATAGGAAATGAAAAATCATCTCTTTTATCATAAATTTTGGTATTAAGCTTCCCGTTAAAGATAAATATATCAAGATCCAGGAAAGGGCAGTGTTCATTGTTAGTATTACATGTAGCTTTATTTAAAGTTAGTTCGTCAGGATAAATCTCTTTAGTGTACATACTGAAGTCGTCATTATTGAGAGCCAATATATCATCTAAATATCTAAAAGTTTTATTAAATTTTTGAATCAGATGTTGTTTCAATGGTCTTTGCTGATATTAGTCATAAATTCTAACTATTTACACTATAAATATCTGAATAAGATTAAGGAACCTTAAATTAAACCATCAATATTAATATCTTTTTTTTAAAAATAGGGGGAACGAACCCAGGGCAACCAAACCCAGGGCAAACATGTAATTAGGCTGAATGCACCCGATGGCAATACCTGACAAAAAGTCCAATTGAGGAATAGCAAAAATTCCCAGAAAAAATTGAAGTCACAAAGCAAATATCTTCATGTCACCAATCTACATGATCTATGACACGTTTTCCTCCATATGGCCCCAGGTCAACAGGACATTCATAAAACTGAAATTCGAAAGTTGTCTATTCTAAAAAGTAAAATAACAAAAATACCAAACTCCCAGGAAAATTTAACGGAAAGTTCATAATCAAAAGCAGGGACTTTCTATATTAGAAAGTCCCTGTCAAAAGGCAAAATAAAAAGCTTAAACACATCAAACGAATGGATAACAATTCCTGACTTCGTACAGGCATTTTCTGATGTAGAAAATGGTGGATTAAACCTGGTTTTATAGCTAGCTAAATCTCTCACTTGTACATGTTGTATGACAGTCGCATAAAATGCCATTATCTTATTATATATTGACAACAATGTGTGAACAAAACAAACAGACATAAATTAGGTAAAAATGTCAAAAATAGGGTGTGTGTATGCATATATGTCTCTGGTGTGTGTAAGTGCTCAGCACAATCATAATACCATAAGAATATGGGTGTAGTAAACTGTGTCTTCTTATTTTTGTCTATCTTTGACTTTGTGTATTTGGCGATGACCATTCAAAGAGGATGCTGTATTAGTGAGCACTCATACTCCGACCTCAGCATCAGTTGACATGAAGGGGAAGTTCTAAAACGCGGAAATCGGAAAATGCGGAAGTGAAAAATTGACATATTTTAAGGATGTCAAAATAACAAGCTTTTTAAAACACTGTTATATTGGAGATTCACTCTGTTGTCGACTTTTATATCGAGTTGCAAGTTACAAAAGTCGAGTTGCGAGTTACGAAAGTCGAGTTGCGAGTTACAAATGTCGAGTTGAGAGTTACGAAAGTCGAGTTGTGAGTTACGAAAGTAGAGTTGCGAGTTACGAAAGTCGAGTTGCGAGTTACAAATGCCGAGTTGCGAGTTACGAAAGTCGAGTTGCGAGTTACGAAAGTCGAGTAGCGAGTTACAAATGTCGAGTTGCGAGTTACGAAAGTCGAGTTGCGAGTTACAAAAGTCGAGTTGCGAGTTACGAAAGTCGAGTTGCGAGTTACAAATGTCGAGTTGCGAGTTACGAAAGTCGAGTTGCGAGTTACAAAAGTCGAGTTGCGAGTTACAAAATTAGATTTGCGTGAAAATGGGGAAAACTATTTAAATTTTTTGGTGTACCTCTTTAACATTTTTGTATGATGATTGCTTATAGAATTGTATACAGTTTTGTTGATTCTTTTTGTTGTTTGGACTTCATCTGAGTCTCGTGTAAAAAAAATGAATGGATAGCTTACATAATTACTACGCAAGTATGGTTATTTTTTGAAGAAACAGATATAGCCTTTTGAAATACAGCGGATGGCTTGTATTCTAATTATTATTAAATTTCATAGCTAGCACAGTCATATTAAACGTAAACATTGGTAAAGGGAGATATAGCAACTAAACTATAGTACATATATGTAAAAGACCCCTTCTGCAGATTTCGTTAAGAGTGGACTCTTTGTGGCAGCTGCAGAGGCAATATTTGTTAGGGACCCCAAAATTTATTCTTTGGCAGTGACACTCAAAATTGTGGACGTTTAAGTTATATATGTCTACATTGGCTAGAGGTGAAGGGGGAAGGTTGAGTGCTCATAATACCTGTTTAACCCCGCCGCATTTTTGCGTCTGTCCTAAGTCAGGAACCTCTAGACTTTGTTGGTCTTGTATATGTTTTAATTTTGGTTCATCTACATGTTTTGGAGCATAGAATGGCGTCCATATTCTTGATATAGTGTACATTGTGTTTCGGGGCCTACCGTGGGTCGGGGCTGCCTCTGGATGTGGGATTTCTCGCTGTGTTGAAGACCCATTGGTACATGGATCCGCTGTACCCTTGCAGTCAATCAAGGGGTGCGTCTACACTGGCGGAATCTCGAAGTACATACATTGGTGGCCTTGGGTTGACTTGTATATTTTGGTTGGGTTGTTGTCTCTTTGACACATTCCCCGTTCATTCTTTATTCTATACATGTAGCTGTCAAAGATACTTTTGTAAAAGAGAAAAAAGAAGCAGTATTGGAATATGTAACTTTTTTTCTAAAAAACGGGTTAATCATAACCAATATAAAAAAGAGAATGTGGTATGATTGCCAATGAGACAACTGAACTCTCCACAAGAGACCAAATGACACAGAAATTAACAACTATAGGTCACCGTACGGCCTTCAACAATGAGCAAAGCCCATACCGCACAGTCAGCTATAAAAGGCCCCGAAATGACAAAGTAAAACAATTCAAACGAGAAAACTAACGGCCTAATTTATGTACAAAAAATGAACGAAAAACAAATATGTAACACATAAACAAACAACAACCACTGAATTACAGGCTCCTGACTTGGGACAGGCACATACATACAGAATGTGGCGGGGTTAAACATCAGTGTTAGCGGGATCCCAACCCTCCCCCTAACCTGGGACAGTGGTGTAACAGTACAACATAAGAACGAACTATAAAAATCAGTTGAAAGAGGCTTAACTCATCAGATGGATAAAAATACAAATACTGCAAATACAAGTGGACGTGGCCGGGTACTTGTACATCCAAACAACAGAAAGACACTAAGTACAGATCTGAGAGTACTCGCAGTTACTGACAGCTAGTTCAAAGCCACTAACAACTAATAAAAAAAAATCATAACCAAATCAATCAAGTTAATTTAGGAATAACATGCTGATAAATATAACTCTTTTGACTTTTTTAAAACGTTTTTTTATATGATGCACAATGGCTATTTAATTCATTTTTTTGGGGTGAATGCGTCCTTTAAGGATACATTTTTTTCAAATATTTCCAGAAATAAAACACCAAATGTGTTTTGTTTTCATTAAAATCCGACCAATTTATTAGAAACTTAATGTCAATATATATATTTTCTCCTAATTTTCAGTAGAAATAATCTTTAAATTTATTCACTTCCATTTTAGACAATTTTTTTCTCAAGGAATTCAGAATCAAACAATTCTTTAAAAAAAACCTACGCCTTTCCAAAATATGGATGGCAGATGCCTGAAAGTACAACTTGATGCCATACTTACCTGGGTAAAACTTTTTTCAGGTGCTCTCGTGACAGGCTATACATGATATTAAAATGAAAAGGAAGCACATTTTTTTTTTAGAAAAATGTACAATACCCAGCTGATATCTGAAACTACAACATTTGTATCAAGGCTGCATCAGTGGGAAATCTAGTGACAACATATTACCTCCCCTGTAAATATTGAAAACTAGATCTTCTCGATGTTTGTCCCATTTTAGGAAGGACGCTATCAATTATGGATTCACGGGAAAACGTTCTGGTAAATAGTAAAAATAGAAATAAGTTGAAACAAGAGTGCACACGCTGAAATGTCTCGCCTACTATACTGATCACTGATTTTATGTTGATAGTCCTAAATATATAGTTTTACTACAAGTATCACATTAACATTTATGATCCAAGAAAACGAGGTCAAGGTCAGATAAACCAAAGCGGAAATACATGTACACCTTTAATACAATCATTCCATACACGGATGACCTATTGCTTATAGTATAAAAGAAACAGACCAAACCTTGGAAATTCTATATTGACCAATGAACCACGAAAATGAAGTCAAGGTCAGATGAACCCTGCCAGACAGATATGTACACCTTAAAAATCATTCCATGCATAAAATATAGTTGACCTATTGCTTATAGTATCTAAGAAACAAAGTTAACCAGGAACACTGAACATTGACCAATGAACCATGAAAATGAGGTAAAGGTCAGATGTTCCTACCAGACAGACATATTCACCTCACAATCATTCCATACACAAAAATATAGTTGACCTATTGCTTAAAGTTTAAAAAAAACAGACCAAAACACAAAAACTTAACTTAACCAATGAACCATGAAAATGAGGTCAAGGTCAAATAAAACCTGCCAGACTGACATGCACATCGTAAAATATTTCCATACACCAAATATATTTTTTACTTATCTCAATACTTATCTTATTTCATATGTATCAAAAATCAGTAAATGTGATTCTGTTGTGCAAACAAAATTTCAAAAGTTCTTCAATCTGTACATATTCAGCCAATTAATCTTTATGAAGGGACTGGAGTGAACTGTATTCTATGTTAAACATTCATGCATGAGTGACCTTATTTTAACATTTTCACACCTTCCAATGTTTTTGTTAATCACGGTTTAGTAATGATCCCTTAAAAGTTTTTATTATTTATTATCATTATTAATGTTATTTAAAGATTTTTATAAAATAATCTATTTCAATGTAAGTAATCAGCAGTTAAATAATAAAATACATTCCATACACCAAATATAGTTGCCCTATTACTTATAGCATCTGAGAAGAAGACCAAACAACAGAAACTTAACATTGACCAATGAACCATGAAAATAAGCTCAAGGTCAGATGAAACCTGTCAGACAGACGTGCACACCTTACAATCATTCCATACACCACATATAGTTGACCTATAACTTATAGTATCTGAGAAGAGGACCAAACAAGAGCAACTTAACATTGACCAATGAACCATGAAAATGAGGTCAAGGACAAATGACACCTGCCAGACAGACATGTACACCTTACAATCATTCCATACACCAAATATAGTTGACCTATTGCTTATAGTATTAGAAAAACAGACCAAAACACAAAAACTTAACATTGACCAATGAACCATGAAAATGAGGTCAAGGACAAATGACACCTGCCAGTCAGACATGTACACCTTACAATCATTCCATACACCAAATATTGTTGACCAATTGCTTATAGTATTAGAAAAACAGACCAAAACACAAAAACTTAACATTGACCAATGAACCATGAAAATAGGTCAAGGACAAATGACACCTGCCAGACAGACATGTACACCTTACAATCATTCCATACACCAAATATAGTTGACCAATGGCTTATAGTATTAGAAAAACAGACCAAAACACAAAATCTTAACATTGACCAATGAACCGTGAAAATGAGGTCAAGGTCAGATGAAACCTGCCAGACTGACATGTATCCCTTATAATCATTCCATACACCACATATAGCTGACCTACTGCTTGTAGTATCTGAGAAACGGACCTAATCACGTAACTTTAACCTTGATCACTGATCCATGAAATGAGGCTGAGGTCAGGTGAACCCTGTCTGATGGACATGTAGACGTTGCAAGGAACCCATATACCAAATATAGTTATCCTATTACTCATAATAAGTGAGAAATTTACATAACAAAAAAACTAAACTTTTTTTTCAAGCAGTCGCTGAACCATGAAAATAAGGTCAAGGACATTGGACATATGACAGACGGAAAGTTCGTAACATAAGTTATCTGCAAACAAAGTATGAAGCATCCAGGTCTTCTACCTTCTGAAATATAAAGCTTTATACAAAAAGTTTACGCCGCCGTCGCCGCCGGATAGTAATATCTATGTCTCACTTTCTGCGACTTTCGTCTCAGGCGAGACAATAAAAACAAAACTTCCATTCAATGTTATCATTTCCCTCCTTAATTAGCAAACGACGAGTACAGCAGGCTATAGAAGCTTGATGTAAAATTGGTTTAAAATGTTGCTATGCGAATAAATTCCTGGAGTACCAACTTCAATTTATTTTTCTACTGGCTGTATACCTTTCTGGAACATGCTAATTATCCGAATATATGTACAGCTAGATCCGAG